ATTATTGTAGTGCCGTAACTATGTTTACAAGACAAATGTTAAATGGTAGACTACCTACAATTTCATAAGTGAACTAAACTTAAAATAACGCCGAACCTACATTTTATAAATATTTTATTATACTGGTATGTATCACGTTTCCAAAGACATGTGTTCAGTTTGTGTTAACTTTTCATATCTAGTAATGTACATAGAGTAACCATGGGCTCCTACAATGCTGCAGCGAGACAAAAGTGGCAACGTCGCAGCCCCGTCCTACCAAAACAGCTGTTGCACTAATTCATAATGGAGGTTCTGCGCAATGTTCAAATGTACACGTTTGTTATTACTGTTATTATAATGGCAACAAGGTGGCCTGTACGACGTTGCCATACTCAAAGACACGGCCTTTTGTGAGAGGAGGCTACGGAGTACTCTACAATGTTTACTAAGATTTTTTTAAATTATATAAAAATCTAACCTCAAATCTTGAGCGCTAGACATTTTCATACCGGTATACCAATAGACTTACAAAAGGACTAAATTAGCTAAACAATGTTAGAAACGTTCAAAAATACACCAAACTTCACTTAGCTTGTTATTCAAATGTAAGCCAAATATTATGTTTAAACTCTTAACTGAAAGGGGTCATCACACACCATTCTACACTCATCCTTCACTCATATTTGGGTTAAAATACGCACCTAGGTGGCGTCCCCATCTCAATAATTGATTGATTGATTGATTGTCAGTAAACAGGAATCGAAAATTTAAAATCTAATTTGGTTATTATGAACATATTTTTGAAAACAATAAATACACTTACTCAGTTAATTTTAATGATATTTTAAAAGTGAAACATCACCTTATGGTATTATCTGCTGTTATTATATAGGAATAATATGTTCTAAGACCCTTAAAAATAGGGTTCACCATTCTGTATTAAACCCTAAGTCAAGTCTGAAAAATATTCTATACACTGACGTCCCGTCTATAATAAGCAGCTAATATTTAAATTTTTACAACGCTGAACCACCCTCGATGAAATATTCACCGTAAAAACAAATTGACATAAAATATTTTTATCACGTATTCCTCAATCTTTCGAAATCAAATTGAGCCAGATATAATATCCAATCACAAATGAAATGGCAAATGCAAACCATGGCACTTGCTCTCAAACCTTATATTGAATAGATATTCAGTTAGGGGATGCATTTAAATATGGATCAGCTTGCAAAGTTCTTGATTTAAATGACAAATCAAGAGGAACCATCTGCGACCTACAAGAGCTTTGGCGAATCTTGTTAATGCAGCAAATGGAAACTGACTCGTTGTGTGTTTGAAACCTTTGGGGAAGGTTAAAATTAGCATTACTGGGAAAAGTGTTGATGTGTAATTAATTTATTTGAAGCGGATTTTACCGAATTTAGAATGATTAAAAAAAAGCAAAATTACACAAACTAATCGATTCTATCTCAAATTAAAACTGATCGTAGACGAGGGGACCCTTTCTGTTCAATACTTAAGCCAAAGGTAAAAATAACAATGTAATACCATTTTACTTTCAAAGACCTACACAATAAGGACCGAAGAGTTACTTACGTACCTCAATCAGATTGCAATTATAAAAGTACAGTATTAAAATTCGTGTTCATAAACCGTTTCTGTTTCGTGTTTACAATAAAACATTCAACTGAAGGATCAGCTATTATATCGCAATTGATATTTAAACTGTTATAAAGAATGTTGTTCAATACTGGATACTTTAAAGTGAACTTGAAAAATAATTGAAATGCAAGGATGGCGAAACCCTTAAGAAAATACATTTTTTTATTACCATTCACAGGTACGCTGAATCATAAGCTTTAAAATGACACAACTACCGTGAAAATCGGTTAAGTAAGACAGCTTAAAAAGGGAAGCTACAGAGAAAGCCATTATTGTTTTAATTATACAGTATATGTATTACAGTATTTATGATTTCACGATGATTCTCCATGATATCCACACCAACGCCTACCGGTACTGATGCATATGTTTACATATTTTATCTTTAGGATATGTATCCACATGATAGCACTGTAAAATCGAATAACAATTTTGGATCATGCATGTTGGGTATTTTGATTAGTGTAAAAAAAGACATTTAGAAAAGAACACGAATGTTAAAACTGTAGAAACGAGACGGTACGGAACATAAACATAAACAAATTTACTTCACTGGCCCGAAAGTAAAGATTCGTTTGCATTATTATTTTAATGGACCTGTGAAAAAAGTCCAAACCGTACTTGTAAAATGTCATTAGGATAGGTTTTGGGACAGTGACGTCATTTGTTTACGTTTTTGATCCTTGACGTTTCTGTTCTAATATTCGTGGTAAAGAACCATTATTAGGGAGAGTATGTTTTCATCATATCAGCTGATATTTTTTTAGTGGCTGTATGTAATGATAAGCTTAATTTACCACTCTAACCTAACTTAATCTCACACAACAATTAAGTTTATTTCTACTGACTTGTGCTATGTTTTTTTTTTAATTTGAGCTTTATATTTTTAATTTTGATTGGAAGAGCTCAATTATAAAGCATATGTACTTCATTAGGCAAGGAATACGTTTACGCTTGAGATTAAGTTGACAACACTTAAAGATACTAAGACTACGATCAGCTGGTGCAGTGTTTCCCATTTCGTTCAAAGTTTCGATTCAACCTAACCGTGTTGTTGAGTGTTTGAAAGACTTATTATTCCTATTGTTAATAGTAACTGTAGGAAAAATATAAAGTTTAACACGAGCGCAAAGTGGCTTTGCTGCAATCGAGAAACTTTTCACGTGTGCAGCAAAGTGCCATTTTACACACTAGTTGAATGAAATAACTATTTCATTATGCCAAACTGTAATGGAGACTCATATAACACTATGATATGTTTTATATCCCTATTAACTGAAGTGGAAACACGTTTTACAAAATACTTACTGTATTGCGTTAGTTGCGCATTTCAATACGATTCAAAACTTATTCGCAAGGCAAAACGAAAAATATAATACCGGTGCTATTACCTTTTGAAGGTTAGGCCTATACTCGTTTCAGGCAGTTATAAGGTTAATAAAACCAATAACTTACAAAATAAATCTTATTTGTTGATTTGTAGATCCACACCATAAAGAGTGATTAAACATTAAAGCAAGGGTTCAGCCACAATAATCCATAATATTGCCATAAGGTTCAGGTTTAATTGGCATTAATTCAAAGTTTAAACATCTAAAACCATTATACAAAAAGTTACTCAATTCTCAGCATCATTGAACCTTTGAAAGCTAAGTCCAGCAAAACATTCTTTGAAATAAATCAAACTCATGGGGGGCGAAGCCCTAAAGGAAATAGTGATCATAGGGACATTTTTAGTTATCATTCGTCACTCTGCTAAATCATAAACAATGAAAACTCAAGCAAAAATGATCCAATTTTGATGAAATTTGGTACAAACGTGTAAACCTACGTTTATACGAACGAGTTCGCGAACCAGCATGATCGGACAATGGGAACGAGTGTTTATGGGGGGTTATAAGAGGTAAAATTTGGTTTTTCCAAATTTTTGACTCTAAAATGATATTTTACAATTTCTTTCCAGAATATTTTGTAGAGCTTAAAAAAATAAATAATTTTGTAAATTGAAGCGTTGTTGTTTGCCTAACTTTTACGGAGGTGATAAAAAAACTTTAAATTTCAAATTCCCATGTTAATTTTATGGAGAATTAATAAACTGTTGTAGTTTTCTTATGGACATATTTTAATCAAATTTTGCAATTTTGTTTATTTCATACTTAGCTTTCGAAATTCCAATCAAAACACACCTCAATACCTTCCCTCAACAAACTTAGGTAGGCCTACTCATTAAAAATTAATGCCATTTAAATTGGTAATAAATCCGACAATTTTCAGGTAATATTTTAGTAGAAACCCAGCAGGTAAATGGAAATTCACTTAGTCTGCAGGTTTGCTGTGGCAGGGGTACTTTGAGTGTATAGATAGATATTTTCCCAGTTGAATTATGTTTAATTTGTTGACAATAGGTTTGTTGATTACTGATATTTCAAATAATAAGTAACTAACAAATTAACCAACTAACACCATAAACAATGTTTGTAAGCATAAAAGAATAACCACGTCGTCTGCATTAGTAATGCTTCAGTAATTTACGTTATGGCCCTATTTGCTGTCTATTTCGAAACACATGTGTAAAGATAATTTTCCGTTATTAGGTAAGCCATCGGAGAACGACAATGTGAATTAAAAACATGTAAAGATAAAACCAAGTTCAACTATGAATTCCTATTGAAAAATTTACGCTATGTAGCCTAGAAAAATTAAAACCAAAGTATAAAATACTAATTTTACTATCAATTTATCTCTTGAAAATTATCTTAACAGTAGAGAAACTAAAGGCGTTGTATAATCTGAACTGAATGTAAGCGGATTTCGAATGCTCAACAATTGAGACAATAGTCCTCGAAAAGTTAAGCTTATTACATGAATATATATTATGAGTTCTTATTCTTTCAAAGCTTATATCTTTTGCTTGTATATTTAAATAAATTCGAAAGTTATTTCAATAGCTTGATAAATATTTAAAATAATAAATTTTTTTGTACTTTTGCTGAACAAATCGAGTTGTTTCGTGAATTTGTAGTGTTTAGAATTTAAAATAGTTAAGATGTGTGCGATTTTTATTTAGCATCAATTTTTCTTCTATAATTGCAACTGTCTTGAGATAAAACGTTGTATGTAAAGACTTACTTAAAAGCTACAAATTTTAAGTAATACTTTTGGTACAAAAAAGTACGATCGAATTGAAAATCGTCGATGAATATATTTTTAGCCAATACAACTTAATGTATGACATTTTCCCAAAATTAAAATACTACTGTAATGCAAAAAATACTTAAGCAACAGCAGTAAGTTTCTAAAATTAATGTTTTCATATCACATAAGATCTAGTACATACGATTCACACTTACCAATTCACAAACAAACTACCTAATATCCAGCACACTGCACTGTAAAGTTTTCACAACAATCGCTTCTGTTTCAGTTAACACTGCCGCGTAGCCGGAGCTTTGGCGCGACGCGTGGTCGGCTGTAGTTTTCGCGGTAAACTGGCCAGCGTGACGCGCTGTTTGGCGGGAGCGCGAGTTGCGCGTGCGCGTGGTGTAACGCACACTAGAGCTAGACCGTCACGCCAGTCACCCACGGTGTCGCGTTACAGGCTCATGTCGGTAGAAAACTACACGACTGGATGAGTAATGTTGACCTGTGGAAATTAATGTGGAAAAAACTTAAATAATTATAAATAAAAATTGGTTTATTAATCCCGAGTTTCTCCGTACTTTCCAGAACAACTTTCGTTAAATATATAATTTAATTAAAAAATAAACAAATTAACTATCGAAATATAACGAGTCAAGAAACATAACAATATTAATAACAAGTAATTATTGGTCAGAGTACAATTGTCAATTAGTTCTTAGACTGTGACCGTCGTCGTCCTGTAATCCAGCTACTTGGGGGTCAAAAATTGTGGTTATACAAGCATAATCTGTGGATGCGATACTCCCTGGTGTGGATTGACGTCCGCACTAGTGAGTACTCCCGTGGATAGAAAATATTCCCTTACTACGGGTATCCGCAGTACTATCCTGATAATTAGACCAATTCGTAAATCAAATGGCAAAAATGTGGTTCGGATACCACAAACTGTAGGTCCCTTAGTTGCCATGTTGCCATTGGCTGTATGGGCTATTAATAAACAGTCCTGTCAAAGGAATGTGTCGGCCTTAGTCATTAACAAGACTACAAGATCGTGCCACTTATCCTACACCCCATGGTTTAAAATAACTACAGTACCTTCATATGGTCGCAATTTCAATTTAGAGTATTAAAAACATTAAAAAAATATGCTTACCCTCAAAAATGTGGCAAGCAAATTATTTGAGGCCAGAGGGGAGATTGTGGTGCAGCTTTGGATTGAAGTACGAGAAGCTTCTCCTTCCAACAAACCTCACTTTTGGAAGTGATTATGGAGACTTTCATGGCAGGCTATGCGTTTAGAGACCTCCTCCCTGAAGGCACTGTGGCTCCTGTACGACAAGAGTCTTGTGTACCATGCAGCACGCCCTGTAAACATTATCCACTGTCGTCATCCCTGTTAAAGCTCTGATTCAAGTATGATTAAGTATTAAATGCAACATGTGCGGCTCTGAATGGACTTAATGACTGTGTTATAAAACTTTGCACTCTTTGCAGCCTGTAAAATCGATTGCTTATCCGGTGAAAAAATCATTTAGAACTTCTAAATAAACTTACACGATTGGTTGCAATAATTCTACTTTTTTTGGAATAAAATATAGAAACCCTGTTCGACCATATTAATTTGATCAAACTCTGTAATTAAAACCTATAAAATAAGCGGAGCTAACAACTTGTGGGTCCTTAGAAAGTTCTTCAGCTCCTCCGTTTAGTATATGCAAGTATAAATTATAAATTACTATATTCCTCCTATCATTATAATGAATTTTATGTAAAACTGAACACGATTTTATTATTTTATCAGTGTAGTTTACAAAATTATAAAAGTTTAATATTTCTTTTTTACGGTTTTATCTGTCGTCTGCTAGAGTAACCCATCACACCTAACTTAAATAATAAGCTCATCCACTCAATTCTTAATTTTGATCGTAGTTTCAATAATGAATAAAAGTTTAGGCATGAAAAGTAAACTCGAATTGTAATATTAAATAGCCAATTTTGAAAAATGTTAAACCTCCATAACATCTCGTTTTTGTGACCTTATCTATTGGGAAATTGGCTGATTAAAATAGTATAACGTGTTTAATTTTAAGATCAAATGTATGAATGTTTATTAAGTAATATAACTAAAACGCGTTTCGGGAGGAAAATAAACTACTCCCATTTTTAAGTGTTTATCAACACAAACACCTAATTAACATTTCTAAAATAATGTTACTAGTGATTTTTTGGGTTTTCTACAGCCAGACCTTTTCACTTTATGACCACTAAAATGGTATCATAACAGAGACAATAGTTTTATTCATAGTGCATATCAGACCACATATTCACTTCCTTGAGCAAATAAAAGCCGGCAATGTTCTCCATAAAAGGCACAGAGACAGTCTGGCATGCAGGGCAGTCACAGTCAAGGACTCTTGGTTGATCGCTAAATATAAACATTCCTTTCTTAGTTTTCTTATTCCTCTTATTTGTTAAGAGTGGTCTAATAAATTTTTTCACACCAGTAGTACCATATTTAATTCCAAGTGCGTCGTAATTCACCAAAACGTAACTTTTAAAACGATAAGTGTCATAATGTGTCTATTGCCATTCAACAAAAAACTCTGTAAACCAAAATGTCTTAATATATTTGTCAATTATTCCACAACTGACAATACATTTTTAAAAATCGGCCCACTTTTTGATATAACGTAATTGTCGTTTACAAAATGTAAAGAAAATTAAATGAAAATTAAATGACAAACTGAATTCCACCCGCTCAGACCTCCCAATAGCTAAAATTCATCCCAAAATAAGGAGCCAATAATAAGCGTCAAAAAGACGCTGTAATGAGTATGTCACATGTCTCGACATCCACGTGTTCACTGGTAAATGTTGTGTTAGGTTTACACTACTTGTAACATTCCACATGGTTGGACACAGGCCAATAACGTAGACCCTGGAGTCTGTTGTCATGGAGACGCTGTAATGAGTATGTCACATGTCTCGACATCCACGTGCTCACTGGTAAATGTTGTGTTAGGTTTACACTTCTTGTAACATTCCACATGGCTACACACAGTCCAATAACGTAGACCCTGAAGTCTGTTGTCATGGAGACGCTGTAATGAGTATGTCACATGTCTCGACATCCACGTGCTCACTGGTAAATGTTGTGTTAGGTTTACACTTCATGTAACATTCCACATGACTGGACACAGTCCAATAACGTAGACCCTGGAGTCTGTTGTCATGGAGACGCTGTAATGAGTATGTCACATGTCTCAACATCCACGTGCTCACTGGTAAGTGTTGTGATAGGTTTACACTTCATGTAACATTCCACATGACTGGACACAGTCCAATAACGTAGACCCTGGAGTCTGTTGTCATGGAGACGCTGTAATGAGTATGTCACATGTCTCGACATCCACGTGCTCACTGGTAAGTGTTGTGATAGGTTTACACTTCATGTAACATTCCACATGACTGGACACAGTCCAATAACGTAGACCCTGGAGTCTGTTGTCATGGAGACGCTGTAATGAGTATGTCACATGTCTCGACATCCACGTGCTCACTGGTAAATGTTGTGTTAGGTTTACACTTCATGTAACATTCCACATGACTGGACACAGTCCAATAACGTAGACCCTGGAGTCTGTTGTCATGGAGACGCTGTAATGAGTATGTCACATGTCTCAACATCCACGTGCTCACTGGTAAATGTTGTGTTAGGTTTACACTTCATGTAACATTCCACATGACTGGACACAGTCCAATAACGTAGACCCTGGAGTCTGTTGTCATGGAGACGCTGTAATGAGTATATCACATGTATCGACATCCACGTGTTCACTGGTAAATGTTGTGTTAGGTTTACACTTCTTGTAACATTCAACATGGTTGGCAAGAGAATTTTGTTATGAATACATTGGTAATAAGTATGCTAAATGTGCAACTCTATGGTTTTTTCCTTACTATGTTTGTTAGATTGATGTAACTCTCGTGACTTTGCGTTGGCCTTCGCCTGACACGGTTCATTACAACTATTATTGTGCTCAACATCATTAAGTTTGCTGCAGTTCCTCGTGTTTCTTTGAAAAATAAGATACTCGTTACTTAGTAAAGTTACTTCGGATTGTTGATTTATTTGCAGCCAGGTCCTTTCAATCAACTGGTGTTTTCAACTTTCGTATTGCATAATGTTTTTTTTTTGTGTTTGCGAAACCACTTTTGGTCACATTAAATCATTTATAAAAACGTATATGTCCTGTGAAAAGACGTTGAATATAATCCTGTTCAATAATAGTAAAAAACCATTATCATGTAGTTTTTATTAAAGAAAGTTCTCCTACACAGAGGATATTCTTTAACCCTGATAATAATTCTTTTTTTTTCCTGGATAGACGGACCAACAAATCAAGCAAATTATAAACTACTGTGCTACGAAAAAACCACACAGCTTTGGTATTTGGCGGGATTTTAGCCAGTGACTGCTGGATTGTTTTCCTGCTGTCTAAATACCTTCCAAGTCACGCCCTCAATATAATTGAAAACATATTCAATAACATTATTCAAGCATAACATATATATATATATATATATATATATATATATAAAAAATATACAAGCATGTTTAAGATTTTTATCAGACTTCCTAATCAAACAGATCCCACTTTAAGTGGACACATTTTCTTAGTTGTTAAGTTTTTTTTTTTATTATTGACCCAATTAATGAACTGCTCATATTATATAGTATACTAGCTGTACCCGCGGGCTTTGCCCCGCTTAACTTCATAAGTATTCGCATGGCTCAATCACGTCCTGGTTGAAGTTCGTTCGCTACGCTCACTCACCTTCAAGTTGGAAATCGTTCGCTGCGCTCACTTGTTTTCAGGTTAGCTCGTTCACTGCGCTCACTTGTTTTCAGGTTAGCTCGTTCGCTACGCTTACTTGCCTCCAGGTTGATGTTCGTTCGCTACGCTCACTCACCTTTTGGTTGCAAATTAGCTGTTGTCATACATTTTAAAAAGTCATCCCTTTTATTGTTTATAATACAGTACTTTTATAAAGGTTTTTATGTTTTAATATTTAACATTGGAGAATTTAAACGTTGTTCAGTGCACAGATGTGCTGCGATTGGGGCTTAATACATTTGGACTTATTCAAAAGTAAAATAGTTTTCTGTGCTGCAATCTGTAGAAACACTGTAGCACTATTTCAAATCATGACTAATGCTTGCTAATACAGAATGTTGTAGTTATTCAAACGTACAAAACAGTTGGTGAAATAAACATCTGCTTTTAAATTATATTTAT